TGGAGGACCTCTGGTTTCAGCCCCATTCGATCCAAGCTGGGTGAAGGAGTGCAAGTCTGTCACTGTTTAGAGGGATTCAGTGGAAGAAGTCTTTGTGCCTGAAAGAAGTTGCTCCCCCTGTATACAGTCTGTGCTCTAAAATATGTGATGCTGTGGGATACTGCCTGTGTGAAACTTTCTGGTGTGTCTCGGATAATTGGGAACTATTGTTTGAAATATCAGAGTCCATCACACACACAAAAATAGATCTGCCTTTGCAAACGGGGAATTTGGTTTGACTCAAAAGCTTAAAAATGTTTTTGAATTCAAGAAATTGAGCAATTTTAAGACACGGTAAAAGTTCTTCCAAAAATCAGGCGAAATTCAATGCATGTGTCTCTGTATTATAAAACTGGAGCAAATGTATTTGAAATCATGCTCAGGCAGGTTTTCACATGTAAAAATTACAGGTTTTCCTCTTGAGGGATTCTTTCTTTCTCTCCCAAACATTCATCACCTCTGAACATACAAATAGCAGAATATCCACTGAGAGTCTGTATGAAAAATGTCCATACATAAAAAATTTCACGGAATAACGTGGCTTATAGGAAACTTGGCGCATGACTATGACTTAAATACCATTTTGTCTTTCATTTTCATATTGCCAGGCTATTTTTCAACTATTACAGTAAAAAATGTTGGTTATTGGTTCGTTGGGTATTTTTAATTAAAAAATAAATAATGATTTGTAGAAGCTGGAGTTCTAGGCTAAGTATCAGACACCACAAGCTTTGGGAGTTGCTATCACAAGAACTGTTAACACTTTTATCAGTGCTGGCTCTGCTTTGTACTACCATCAGCACTTCATCCCCTGAGAGTTCTATCTCTTAAAAACAGAGCTGCTGTGGTTCTCTGGGCCTGTAGGTGAATGGACAGCAGTGGGTGCAGAGCTGCTGTAGACAGTCCCATCATTCCCTCAGAGGTCAGGGAGCCATATGGAGAGGCAAGGAATGGGTAAACAGTAGCAGTAAGAGCAGAATGGCTCCCACAAGGGTTTTGCTATTAAAGAGGGTGGAAAAGTGGGATGTAAAGGCTGTTTTCCTGGGTGGTATAGTGGTGTCCTCCAAGCATGTGGAACAGCTTTGCATATTGCATTGTACTTCTTCAAAAACCCTTTTTCCCCACCCCCGAGAAGAGTCTCTGCTCTGACAAGATAATCTTGTACTCTGGTGAGAAGTGTTTTGAGGTGTGCTTGAAAGGAGCCTTATATCTCCTTACAGAAGGCAGGGCTAGGGAACTTAGGGACAATCAGAGATAAATCCGCTTGCCTGCAATCATGAAGTAGGAGAGTGGGGTTTAGGGAGAGAGAGGTTAAGAAAAGGTAAGTGGTCTGTAGAGGGTGTTTGTTGTTTACCCCCAAGAGGTCCAAAGAAAGATAATTAGGAAAATCAAGCCTAATGTTACTAGATTTTTATGCGAAATACAAAGGTCTGTGGATGATTTCAGCAATCTGCAAACTGGGTGGCAGACACTGTTCGAGGTAGTAAAAACCATTTGATTCATGGTAGAGTGGCAACCTGAAATTGGAGGGCAAAACCAACACACTCTTCCCACTACCACATTTAAGTAACAAAACATTGCCAGCTTTTTGGGAAAGTCTCCCCCCTCGAATCTGAGTGCATTTTTGATCAAACCTGAACTCTGAAATGCAGCGAAGGAGGGAAGCAGAAGCCGTGTGGTTGGTTACAGCTCAGAATCGCTTTTAGTTATCACCAGCTGAATTGGAGGATACAGGCTGTGCCTGCTTGCTGCGAGCAGCAGACTGTTAAACAAAACATTGCCAGCTTTTTGGGAAAGTCTCCCCCCTCGAATCTGAGTGCATTTTTGATCAAACCTGAACTCTGAAATGCAGCGAAGGAGGGAAGCAGAAGCCGTGTGGTTGGTTACAGCTCAGAATCGCTTTTAGTTATCACCAGCTGAATTGGAGGATACAGGCTGTGCCTGCTTGCTGCGAGCAGCAGACTGTTAGAGGAGCTCGATTTCTCTCACTCCTTCTTCCACCCACCTCCATCTCCTCTGTGCCTGTGTCTGCGCTCCCACATGCTTCAAATCTGTGTACCTGGACTGCCTTTCTTAACAGTTCAATGTGAGTGTTAGCAGAATGAAAACCAGATGGACCAGCAGTTCCCACTGTTATCTCCCCACCAGCTCTGGCAAGCCTCCCTTTCTCTCTCCTTTCTTGGCATGGCAGAAATATTTGCCTTTATTTAGGAGGGCTTGGGCTCACTGCTGTGCCTCTTTC